TAGTTGTGGTTACTACTTTAAAGCTTACTTAGTAAATTCTGACAAATTATATATAGATATATAGATATATATATTCTTTATATTTCTATATATTCTTTATTTCTATATATTCTTCCCCTTGGTTTTGTTCCTCTAGGAAACCCTGGCTGATTCAGATTGTGATACCCAAAGTGGTTCTGGAGAAACAGGACTGTAAGGATGAATTTCTCTAGTGGACTTGTTGATATCTGAACCTTGTCTTTCAACTAAATACAAACCTAAAGTTCTGAAGACCCCTCTGATACTATGAAGAACACTCTCGGCACTTTGAGCAGCCAGGAATGGCCATAAATGAAAGTGAGTTCAGTGGAGACTCCAGCATGTTGGAGGTGCACATCCAAGGGATGAGCACCAAGAACAGCCCCACAAATGTAGAGTCAGGAGCTGACCTGAGCTCCTGAGACAAACTGTGATCTGGGAATAGCAGAATCAGAGAAGTGAAGATGCTCAAACCCGTGGAAGTCCAGAAGATTTTGAGTGACTCCAGGTTGTAGGACACTGAACGACAGGATTTAATTTATTCTACTAGAGTTTCCTTTGGCATTGATTTAGTTGTGGCCATGCTCTGGTTCATTTGATAGTTTATTATTGATTTTATAGGAGCTTACAGTTAGGAGGTTTCGGAGTTTTAAAGATAAATTGAGGGGTTTTTTCAATATAAAAAGTAAAATATAATAAGGTAAAACAAAAACTGTCTCATAGAGGTTGGACAAAACCAATCAACAGAAGAAAAAGTGCCAAAGAGAAGGCACATGTATCAGAGACCCACTTGTTTACACACTCAGGAATCCCATAAAAACACTAAACTGAAAGCCATATTGTTAATACTCTGAACTGACCCTCGGCACCTCCCAGTGTCCTGATGTAAAAGTCTCCTTTTAAGGAAAAACTCTCTCTCTCTCTCTCTCTCTCTCTCTCTCTCTCTCTCTCTCTCTCTCTCTCTCTCTCTCTCCTCTCTCTCTCATCTTTTCCTCTCACGAGGTGTGCACCCCTTTCTCCTTTCTCCTTCCCCCTCCATGTCTCTCTCTCTCTGTCTCCTTCTTTCTATCTCTCTGCCTCTTCATCCTTCTATTATAATAAACTCTCCATGTGGATGCAACGTCTGGGTTGTGTATCACTGACCACTGCCATGCCCACATGGCATGCATCTGTCCAGCATGTTTCCCTGCATGCACGGGATACCATTGTGGGTCCTCCCCCACCCCCAACGTAATAAATCATAACACAAACTGTATGTATATTCAGAGACCTGGTGCAAACCCGTACAGGTCCTGTGTGTGCTGCTTCAGTCTCTGTGAATCTGTGAGTTTTTAAAGAGGATTCAAATTTTTTTAATTTTGAAAACTTTACAGACTATAAAACTTTTACTGTTAAATTCTATGTTGTCATATTAATATTAGCATGACATCTTGCAGACAGTCAAGAAAGGAAAGAAAGTTGGTGGTGTAATAGTGATTTGTGTGTCAAGTTGACAAGGGTTGTTTTTGCTGTCGTTGGTGTTGGTTTTTATTTTTTTTATTAACTTGACACAAACGAGTCATCTAAAAAGACATGACATTAATTGATAAAATGTCTGTATTGAATTCCCTGAAGTTAAGCCTGTACGGGCGTTTTCTTGATTGATGATTGATGATTGATGTGGAAAGGTCCATCCCACTGTGAGAGACACTATCTCCAGGCGGGGAGTCCTGGGGTACACAAGAAAACAAACAGCACAAGCTGTGGAAAGCAAGCCAGTAAGCAGTGTTCCTCACTGGTCTCTGCTCCTGTTCTGTTTGTATTATTATTATTTTATTTATTTTACATACTAACCACCATCTGCCCTCCCTCCTCTCCTCCAATTCTGCTTCCATTCTTGCCTGTATGTTCCTGCCCTGCTTGAGTTCTTGCCTTGGCTTCCTTCAGCAATGGACTGTTACCTGGACGTTTAAAATCAAATGAGCCCTTTCCTTCTAAGTTGTTTTGAGCATCTGTTTTATAGTAATTTAAAGCAATTCAGATAGTCATTTATGATTTAGTTTGGCCCTAGAACAAAACATTTCATATGTGATCTGGAAACTGTGGATTATTTTGATTCTATTTGATCAGAACAAAATTCATTCTGGGGTTAAACTAGACTTGTTGAATCCATTCACACCGAATCCCCATTCTCCATTATTCCTTAGAAATTCAGAGAGTCACATTTTCATATCATTTCAGTACCTTGTGGTGCACTTGACTTAAGGTACTGTTTATGGGATATTTTCCTTCCTGTAAATAATTTATCCTGATAAGGTAAGAGGTGTATACTTGCACTTTCTAGCAATCCACTAATGCTGCCTTATCTGCCAACCAGCAAGGATCCTTTAACTTAGTTTTTAGACTTCATGGGTGTATTTATATATGATGCTGAAATGATATTGGAGATGATGTTCAGTCCACTTGTGCAGCTTCTGACAGAACCCTACGATTCCTATCTGAGGAACAGGAGAATAGGAAGCAGTTAGCATTCTCTACAGTACTTGAATTATTTTAATAAGTTTAACACTCTATGAAGATGAGTTTTTAATTTGATGCAGACATGAATAGGTGTGAAACATAGCCATAACAGTAACTAAGAATGTTACTACAGAATGTCTTGTTCAGGAAGGTATTTTTTCTGAGAAAAACTGCATTAATAAATTAGCTGTCATATTTTTTCATGAGTACTATTTTATGTCACTAATAGAATTTTTCACATTTTGCAGAATACCTCAAAATTTCATTCTTTAGCAACCTGGTTTATTATCTTCAAATACATTTGCTATTTATTTATTTATTCCCCTGATGGTGTGGTTTGAGCCCTAAGACATACAGTGGCAGCAAGGACCCTACCACTGAGATATTTCTCAATCCTATTCAAAAATAATTCTAGTTTGATAATAGTTTAAATTAACTCATTCTCATAGTACTAACAATAAATAGTTTATAGTGTTGGGGCCAGGTCTACACTTGTTATATGTTTATTAGGCAGGGTCTCACTATGCTGCCCAGGTAGGTCCTGAACTCACTCTCCTCCTGTTTCAGCATCTAAAGTCTCTGGTATTTTATAGACACATGCTAGGTTATAGATTATTGTCACAGTCTCTGACTTCCTCTATTCATTCTTAATGGAAAATTATTTTTCAAAAATCAATTTTGTTTTCCTACTTCCAGGCATTCACATAATCAAACAAACATGTTAACCCATTGCTGACTTTTGAATTCTGCCTAATTACATGCTTTGCATCACCCTTCCTTCCTTTTATTGAGATTATAGTATGGTTTCCTCCATTTCTTTGAGTATTTCAGTATCCTATTCAGTTTATTTTTCTACATGATACCAATTTAAGTTCACAGTAGCAATATTTTAATAATAATTTAATATAATTATATTCTTTAGTATTTCATTATGGGAATTTTGCATAGATTAAAATTGAAACATGTTAAAAAACCATTTTGTGGAAATATTGGAATTAATGGACACAAATAAGTAAAAATGATAATAGATTTTCTGCTTTGTAACTTATTTATGGAGAGAAATGAAAAAGGGGGAAATACCTTTATGAGATACACTTGACCTACATCTAATTACAGGAAGCCTTCAAAGGGTACAAAATTGCATTGGTAAGAATGCTTAGTTAAGTATTTTTGGAAACTTAGCACTTAACCAGAGACACACAATAAGCCTGGCAATCAAATCATCAACCTGAAAGTCAACATAAAACAAGTTCAAGGAGTTCTAAGGACACACGCTAACCTTAAAATATTCTGAAGAAAAACAATTCTTATCCTGAATATCCCAGAGCAGACATTTTCAAAGGCGATGTTTTATTAGAAAGATAAGAAGCTACAGTTCATTAAAAATTAGCAGTAATGCAATTGAAATATCTATTAGAGCAATAAGCTTTGAACAAAGAAGATTAATGTGTATTTATAGTTGGCTCTGATTTTATCTAACTGCAGACAATTCAGAATGAAAATGGAAAGGTTTTCATAATTAAAATGGCCAAGGCTTGATGTCTCTATGTATAGACATGTACACCACCACTCAGACATCAAAAGTTAGACATAAATAAGCAATAGGTCAAAGAGAAATCCCTAAAACTTAAATTTAAAACATACTTTAGCATCTGTTATTATAAAAAATAATCATTAATTTATTTCACAGATTATATAGAGGTGCATTTGAAGTAAAGAGGATGCTTCCATTTATATATTTCTATGTTTTCCCAAAGAGAATAAGGTGGAATTAAAAGAAGTAGAAATAGAGAATTTTGAAAAATTCCACTACTAACCACAATTTTGGAGGGGAAAGATGTAATCATGACTAGAATGATGATGGACACTTGGTGAGATGTTCAAAAGATCATACATGGTTTAGAGATTCATAACTGGAAGAAAATATTGGTAGATATGCTCATAGTTCTTCAATGGCTCTTACTCCAGTTTTTAATTACCAAATAGTTTCCATGTGTGCATGTGTGTGTGTGTGTGTGTGTGTGTGTGTGTGTGTGTGTGTGTGTGGTATGTTCCATCATTTTATCTTTTATTAATTTTATTATCAATTAAGAAAGAGAGGATGAGTATATATGATAATGAGATAGTATGTTGAGCTCAAGGAAACAGCAATGAATCTAGTCAGGCTGCCATGCTACTGGGCCCAGTCTGCTCACTATTGACAGCTAAAATAAAATTCACTGAACACAATGTAGCATTTCCAGAATAACTGGAGATGGCATGGCTTAAAGCTTTATATAAAGTGATAGGAAAAGTGTTCCTTTATAATGAAAATTTGATCTAGCAAATGGAAAAAAAGCAATTCATAGGAATTCCAAAATTATATTTAAAAAATTGTTCAAAAGCCTGTTAATAACCATACTGGGTAACTTTGGATATCAGTAAGACCAGAGTAGCTAATGTGTCAGAAACATAAATAATTGTACTATATCATGCCAATCAAATGAATTATAATAATCATTTTTATTACAATAAATATAGCAAAGTATTTAATAAGGTTTAATATGCATTTATGACATAATAACCTTAGGAACAAGGAATATAACAAAGGTCATAAATGACAGGCCCACAGGAACAGCATAGTAAATGAAGAAAAGATGAAAGTGTTTCCTTGGAATGCAGCAATAAATCAGAGGTGTCAACTTTGACTATTCATATTCAGTTCAGGGGTCCAAGTCATAGCCCAAGCAATAAGGGGTAGGGGGGAACATAAATAGATAGATAGATAGATAGATAGATAGATAGATAGATAGATAGATAGACAGATTAATGGCATCCAAACAGAAAAAAAAGAGATTTATATTATCTCATTGAAGATAAAATGCTTTCATAGCAAAAATCAAATATCTCAAAAAACTGAGAAGTTCAGTAAGCTTTCAGGTTAAAAAATTTATGTATAACTTGATAAAAAAATACATATGCATATAAGTGTGTGTGTTTAGGATAGACTTGTAGATGTTGAAAGATATGTGCTCTTAAAAACAAAATCAGTATTAGCAACGAATAAAATTAAGCACCATTGCAAAGACTACTCTTTAGTTCAAGTCCATCCATTGTCCATAGCAGAAAAACATGAGGTTCTAGAATTTCGCCAGCAATGGGTGAAATCACTTGTCTACTCTTTCCAATCAGATGTGTAAAAGTTGAACATGTTAAATTACATGTAAAGGATGAGCTATTTTTGTGTTTATAAGATTTTCATCTCTTGTGTGTCTTCTTTTGGATTGACTTTTCCTCTTCTGTTGTCTTTTTTTTCTCGTGTATGTTTCTATTTATTCCTTCTGTCAAAAAATATTGGAAAAAGACATCAAAGATTCTAGTCAAATTTCTCAATTTTTTCTTCATGTTTAGCATATAGTTCTGAGGTCTTTTCAGTTCTAGTTCCTTTACTGTCTACATAAACTCCCTGTGTGATAGTGGTTTTTATTTCTCACATTAAATTTCACTCTGCTGGGACCTAAGCTATTCTGAGGCCACATATAAGAAAAAAGAACGAGGCTTTGTGGCAGTTGATGGAAAGAATGATGAGAGAGAAACTTGCTGGAGATGACAGGCCGCTGGGATAAAAACAGAAGAAGTAGGGGAAGCAAAATTAGTGAGCAGGAAGGGGCAGAAATACCAGAAGAAGAGCAAGGGGCAAGAGCCCACTAGGGGATCAGCTTTCAATGGATGGGGATGGTTTCTTAACTGCTTCCCTCATATGGCACTGCTCAAATGACGAGTGGTCCCATTATGATGGAGTATTTCCAATCTTGCTGACTATTGGATTGTGATGTTAATTTCATGCACCATTTCCTCTCAAAAAATAAAACGTAGAATAAATAAATTTCACGGGAATAAAAAAAAAATCCCTGCACTCGACTAAGTATCTTTATTTTTCATATGTTAAATATGCTACATATATAAAACACTATCTCATTTGTATCAGTCCCAAGAGTATATTCTAGATAATGGTTTTGAAAATGGAATGCTTGAATCAGGCAATGTGTAAACATGGCCATCTTTTCTTGCTTTCTTTAACAGAATACATAGGCTATTAGCAAACTTTATTTTTTAACAAATATCAAGTATTTCAGTCATAGTTTCAGTGACCACTGTGTTATGGTTTTCTTTGTAGCACTTTGGATTTCTTTTGCTGTGCTTTCCCTAGAACATTGGACTTAATTTGGTGGGCTCTTATTTAATGCTCTATCATTTGGATTAGCTCATGTCCCTAAAGAATAAGATGGTTAATTCTTTTTACAGCTGTGACTGTAGAGGGCTAGGTCATCAAGGGATGCACAGCTGTGTTCTAGAGGAGCAAAGTTTTCAAAAATCTAATCTCCACATAAAGGAAGTGAGATTGTAACATTTTACTACACTTGTCCTTGCCTGACTTGGCATACAACGTCTTAAGTCAACATCAGTTCAACACCTGTCTCTCAAAACTACTTTATACAAGTGGGTATAGTGATATACACATTTAATCCCAACACCTAGGCGTGAGAAACAGGATGATCAGGAATTCAAAGCCAGCCTCACCTATGTTGGGAGTTCAAGCCCAACCTACTCTGTAATACCCAGTCTCAAAAATCAAATCAAACAAAAATGTAACTGCTTTTTGATGTGGAACAGTAGCTTTTCTGAGCTGAAGACAATTCCTCTGAGGAACATAATTTTTTTCCCAGTTCTGCTGACTAGTAAAAGATTATTTACTCATTTTATTCAATGGCTGTATTTATGTAAGCTAAGAACACTTTATTGTTTTGCTTTTCTAGAGGAATATTTACCAACTTCTCATTCACACTTAAAACTCAGTTAAATAGATATTTTTTGTACATTAACACGGAGCTGGACCTACTCATCTCTTAATTAAAACACCCAATCACTCATGAATTAATTGTGTGTTTAGTACCTGGGAGTTATATACTTATAATTTTGAAACATAAAATAGCTAATATAAGCTCATTATCATAGTGTTTTATTAACTCCATTGCAGCAGTTCTCTTACTAAGACATAAACACTTGAGAACTTAGCATATTTATAGTAGCTAGAAAATGGATAATTTCATGCAACAACTTTATTTTACAAATGCCCCATGACTACCTGATTATGAAACCTACTTCTATTCAAAATTGAGTGGTTTAAAAACAACTAGCCAAGAAAACAAAGGGAAGGGAAAAAGTAATGGGAATTGTAGTCCCTTTAAAATTGACTGTGCTAATTCTATGAGTCTCAACCAAAGCAGCACATAGAGTAATAAGATGGTTTTTAATAAATACCTACTTATGAGCCAAACCCTATTCTAAACGCTTTGTATAGAAATGTCTTTAATCTTCAGTGTGGCATTTCAAAGTGTGAAATCCATTGTCAGCCAAGTCAGTTGACATCCAAAAGTCATAACAACAGTAAAAAAAAAAAAGCTAATTATGAATAATTTCAATATATTTGTCTTCCTATTTTAGAATTGTGAAATATATTGTTTACATTTTATGCAGATTTTCTTTATCAATTTCTGATTGACATCTGAAGAAAATAAGCTCGTCAAAGAATACCAAGCTCTGAACACACTCTAGAATTTCTCTAAATATCTTTAAAATTTAAATGTTAAGTTCAGGAGTAAGGCAAGAGATCTAACTTAAGGATGGGATTACTTAACATCAGCTTAAGGTATTTTAGGAGCGTCAAAGAAAGCAGACTATAGTGATCAATTCTCGCAAAGGCGGGTTGATCCAGATTGGACCCATCAATATTTCTTTGAGCTTTTGGGTTTTTCTTTCTCTTTTCCATTTGTTGTGTAAACATGGACTACTTCAGTAGAGTATACCTGTAGGGGCAGAAGTAGGTACTGAAAGAAATGCAAAATGACATTTTTAAGACTATAAATGATATGTGGTCACAATCTTTGACATCAATTAATGCAGTAATAATGTATAAAAAAATACAAATGACACTAGTGACACTTAAATTTGGAAAAATGAACCGAGGAAAGTATTTTCGCTTAGTTTTGTTTTTCTGCAACAAAATGACAGACTACTTCTAGTAGGTTTTCTCTATTGGAGTCTTGGTTGTGAAATATCCCCAGTCTCTGGTGTCATACTGAGCCTTGACAATTTGACTTCTAGGTCAAGAAGTGCATTCTGTCACTTTGCCCTTTGACTCAGGTGTCCTTAGAACTTGCTTTTGCTTTTGCTACACAATAGAATTGACCCAGGGGCAGGAAAGCCAACCTTCAAGAGGAGCTATAGACTGTCACTGCTTTTTTAAAAAAAAACAAAAACTTGCTCATTCTTTGACAGTTTTACACATGTATGTAATGAATTGCAAATCATTTGACCTCTCATTCATCCTCTCTATTTTAAAGAAAATTTCTTGTTCCCAATAAGCCCCCCTTCTAACTTGTCTTTTTCATCACTGCTTTTGGTTTTTTGTTTCTTTTTGGTTTGGTTCAGTTTGTTTTTGAACCACTGAACTTAATTAGAATCACATGCATGAGGGTGGATGGGAGGTTACATGCCGGGGTGTACACAACTTTTCAGTGGTTATAACATCAACGAAAAAGATACCTGTTCCATCAGTAACCATTAACTGCCAATAGTCCCTCATGAAGAAGTGGGGCCCTCCTCAACCTGTGATGAACTGCTGATGGTCCCAGTCTTGTGCTGACCTTGGGAAGACAACTACAGCTGCAGTGAGTTTGTAGGTACACCGTCATATCATGTCCTGAAGACACTTTTCAGCACCTCTCTCTATCCTCTCATACTAACACCCTTTCTGTCCCTGCTTCCATGGTGTTTTCTGATGCAGGAAGGGGTTGATATAAATGTCCCATTTAGGAATAAGAACTGCTTTCTTTAATCCTTTATGACCAACCACGTAAATGAATTTTGTCTAGGCTGCTGTTCAGTGAGAGAATGAATAGGATGCAATGAGTGGTCCTCAGTGAAATCCAATTAGACCAGGTGAACTTCGGCAGAAGAAGCCAGCCTCATTGAGTCCAGGCAAAACAAGACATTCTCATATAAGCCCAGCCCAGATTACTGACCTGCAAAAGTGAAAGCTAAGTTAAATTTGTTGTTTTAGGGTATTTTTATGAAATGGCACTAGGTAAATAATAAATCCAACATTAGGTAGATAAGGATCCTGAGGTTCTTCTAGAACCTGGAAATAAAGAAAGCTTTCCATTATCATAGCACTGCATTCATTCACCACATGATTAATAAGTACTTGGTATAGACATAGTTCTATCTATTAAGACACAAATAGTATAAATTGAAGACTATAGCAACAATAAAGATTTTATGAAAAATCTTAAAGATGAAAAGAAATGTGGGATATTCCATCCAATATCTCTCTATAGCCAGGGAAAAGGGTTCACTGAAATATCAGTCTATATGCACTTTAAAGATAATATGGGACTTGATAAATAAAATTTCATAAATCAAAGCCCTTTCTTAGGAAAAATATAAAATATTATTTTAATAGCACATATTTGAAGTTAGACATTTTATTTTATTATTCTTTTGTTTGGAATAATTACCAACCAATACTTCAGAAAGCTTTAAAATAAGCAGATTTTTTTTGTAGAAGTTAGTACCCTCAGATACTACACTATTGTCAGTATTTACATTTAATAAGGACTTGTTTGCAAACCAACACACATACAGAAATGTTTCAAAAGCCAAAGGGACATCACCATTTGGTATAGGCATGGTTTTATCTATCAAGACACAAATGGCATAAGCTGAAGGGCATAGCAACAATAAGGCTTTTATGAAAAATCCTAAAAGAGAAAAGGAAACATACATCATCTTGAAAAGAAGAAGACTCTACAAGACAGTAAGCTACAGATGCAAGGAAAATGCCACATTAAATCAAATTCAGGATGTTATTCAATAGGACAATGATATGAGGAAAGAGCAGGCCAGCTTGGAAACAAAACAAAATGAGATGAGACATAAAGTCAATACGTGGAGATGAAAAAAGCATCTAAGTGAGATCGGGAAAGATTGCAATAAAACTAAAATTGCAGAAGTTTGGGTAAAATGCACACAAGATTTACTGGAGAGAGTTACTGACTTGAAAAAAAAATGGAATTAGGAGATAAAAACCTGCAGAATTTTTCCCAGAATGAAGAGGGGGAAATAAGAGGAGAAATATCAATAAGGTGAATTTAACAAGGACATTGTGGAACACTTGACCCATGCCAAGGTCTTCCTATGATAGCTCAGATTGTTATCATACCTCTATATTGCCCATGATGCCAGAACTGTCATGAGGGCAGAGAGAGACAGGGAGCCTCAGACACTGAACTGTGGGGTGGGAATATCAATAGTCAAGCTGCAACCCAAGGCAAGGTGGGCTGATTCCAAAACCCATGCTTTCAACACAGATGTGACGCTGCTGCTCTGCTGCTTGGGGAGGATCAAATATTAACAAGAAAGTATTCAGATGCTTTAGACAAAAAATTAAAAATAAATAAAAGTCTGTGTAAATAGGTTAAAGAAAATTACTCACTGAAAGATGAACGACTTTAGATTACTATAAGAACCGAGTTTAAATATAAGAATAAAACACATAATTGGATGCAATGTGTCATCACACACACACACACACACACACACACATACACACTGAAGACATGATGCATGGACAGAGATGTATTGGGAAGCATATTGCACATGGCGGGTGGTTGGAAGGAGAAAATGAAGCTTGGGTATGATCACATTTCATGCTATAGAAGTTTAAAATCCTCAAGGAACAAGAGGACAATAAAAAAGTTTATCTTCCATATAACAAAAATAGTATATGTTCTCCAACATTAAAAGGCTAACGAAAAGCAAGCAAAGAAGCAGAACTAAAACAAGCAGTGGTGGAGGCATGAGGGCAATGTGCTAAAATACATGCCAGATTTTTCATTCAGTTGTTATTGGGTACATGTCCAGTCATAGGAGCATGCCATTTATATAGCATAGACAATGTAAGCCAGCACAGTCGCTCAAACACGCAATCCTAGCACTCCAGGAACTGAGGCAAGAGAATTGAAGGAAACTCAAGGCCAGTCTCTTCTACGCAATGAGTTCTAAACTTATCTTGGCCAGTCCTTGAAATTCTGTCTCCAGATAAAAGCAAAAATAAAGCATAGATAATTTGATGAGGAATTTGTGATTTGAAAGGAGTGCTCACGTTAAACCATTAAACATGATGCATATTAGGAGTATTCCAACAAAGAAGATGTAAGTGACAACAATCTGAAACTGAAGATAAATAATATAAATAAATAGAAAACATTTGGAAATCCAAAGCTCAGACTGTGGATACTTAAAAATAAAATAAGACCTCCGTGTGTGTGTGTGTGTGTGTGTGTGTGTGTGTGTGTGTGTGTGTGTGTGTGTGTGTTTAGGCATAAAAGTAGAAAGTAGTAAAACTGCTTAAATTGTAAATATATAACACAGTAATTATAAAATCAACTTTGAAATAAACAAAGACATCATAGAAAAGTGTTAGAATACCTGACTTAGAATAACATTGAAAATTTCAACTCATATGAGATTTGAACAAGTAATCAAACAGACCCTAATAACAGTAGACCCAAATGAAAAAGTGACAGGGAAGATCATAGGAATAGATGCCAAAATTATTATCACTAGCATCCTTTCAGCTAAACCCAAAAAAAAATGAAAGAATACTTAAAGGCCAAGATAATATATTAAATTCACAAAAAATATCAAAACCAGTAATGAGATTCTGAGGAGATATGAAAAAGGTGCTGCTAAGACAAGACATAAATAAGGAGGGAAATTTTGTTTCTATCACCACTCACCATTATTACTGAAATTCTAATAAATGAAAATGTGCAAAACCATGAACAAGAAATATGTATGGTAAAATAAATACAACTTACAGTTATTTATATTTGTCTTATGTTAACTGTACCAATCTGAAATCCCCCATAAAACATGAGTTAATAGTACACACAAATAGAGTAAAAATTTTAAATATCACTACTAATTGATTGAAGGGTATTAAACACAATCTATTTGAATATAGGACAAATAGCATTAAAATTGGTAGGAAGCACCTTCATAAACAGAATACAAACCTATCTAGAAAAATTGCACCTATGATGCTGCTCAAGTTGTAAGAAGACTTAAATAGAGACCAAGAGCATAAATGCAGAGCAGAGCCCTTGTCTTGCCCAAAGGCACTGGATTTGAAAATACAGCTCTGGAGGATGGAGAGATGACTCTGCAAGTGATGATCACTTCCTCCCTTTTAGAGGACTCAGGCTTTGTTCCCAGCACCCATAAAGCTGCTTATAACCATCTGTAACTCTAGCTTAAGGGGACTCTGTGTCCTCATCTGGCCTCTATGGTCATCAGGCACGTACATGGCAGTACACGCACACATGTAGGGAAAACACTAATACCCATACAATAAAACTAAATAAATCTTTAAAACTGTACTGCTATGTCTAGAAAGGAGAGAGTGTCAAAGCAAAATTTCACCACTGATAGACAGAGGAGACTATTCAGAACTATGGGATAGAAGGAAGAAATTGAACTCCACTGAGATAATGATAAGGTGGTTTAAAAAAAGAAAGAATCTTAAGATCTTATGTGAGTTATTGGGAAGGAATTTTAATGTGTGGTGTCAGTCAATGCAATTAGTACATCTGTGTTGCTAAGTAGCAGTTATCAAAGATGACCTCCCACCCTCATGCCGGCACTGGGAAATGATGCACTCCTTTTAGTGATCACATATCAAAAGGATGTCCCCAGTAAAAGGTGAAGACAGTTAGCATTGACTATGAACTTGATGTTGAGACACACCTAGAGGTTTCGCATATCATGCTTTCTGAGTGTGACATTGAGAGCTTCTCCAGAAAACAGTAGATCTTGGGGGCTCTTTTCCAAAGATTGGTATGATGCATTGATAAATTTAAAATTTTAATGAATCTAAAGGTGCTAGACCTGTGGAAGTGGAGGCCTAGTTGAAGGCACAGGCATACGAGGAGTTTGCCTTTGAAGGATATGAGTTGGCTCTGGCCCCTTTTTGCATGGCACTCTCCTTCCTGATAGTAGAGAAGGGAGCAGTCTCCATCTCCACATATTCTGGCTGTTAGTATGCTTTGTCTCACCAGGAAACCATAAAAATGAAGCACACGGATTTTGTTCTGAGACCTCTGAACCTGTGAACCAGAACAAAATTTTCTTCTTTGTGTTGTTTTTCTCAGTCATTTGTCCCAGTGCAGGGCAGCATGAAAAACACAAAGGCAATCCCTGGCTATGAAAAATATTAGAGGACAGAAGATACACACCACCAAGAAATGATTTACACTTGAAACTTTCCTAGCATTCATGCTCAAAACAGGTTTTACGAAGGGTAGGGACGCTGATAGAAAGAAGCCTATGAAAAGTTTAAATAAGCTAAGGAAAAATTGGAACTCTCAGGGTCATAAGTTTATTTCAAGCACTAGACTGTCCACAAGACTGAGAGCATGATGGGGAGGGGTGGGGATTGAACCAATAGGCTAAGAAACTTAGGGTGGGAAGTAGAATTACATTTGTAACTTTTGGGTCAAATATCTGCTTCCATGAATGACTTTAAAAAAAGAAAGGAAATAACCTTGAGTGATTCTCCTCAAACATTAAACCGAGGTGGAACAAATATAGAGCCTCTGTACCAAAAGGCAAGTCCTCAGAAGGGTTCTTTTGTTTATCCCACAATAAATCATTATGCTAGGCACAGGCACATCATAGGCCCAAATGGTTCACAGCACCAAACTAATTGACTTTCATCTCGCCATTTGGTTAACTAAATGTTGATGTGGCAGACTACTGTGGTCCTGTCCTGGTTAGGAGTTCTGAGCTACAGAAGTATGGAGTATCATACACAGAAGACTGATGGCAAGTGCATGGAATTAGAAATAAGAATCTCAGCAACCCCATTAAAAATATTCCACAAGGTGAGTAGGCTATAAGTACTGAGACATTTCAAGATTTCTTTATAATTTGATCTCCATAAATCTTAGCAAGGTGAATTAGTATATAAAGGTAAATACTGCTAGACTAATGTTTGTCTGTGGCATTTATGTTGAACTTAGAAAAAGGATGGCATTTCTGTCGAATCTGGGGTAGTGCTGTTATTAGAAATCTGTTTCAGCTCTTAACTGTATGACCCTAGATTCAATGTCATACCATGCCCCTGTTTGCTCTTTATTATCCACTTTATCCATTTTAGCTGATGTAATAAAACACAAGGCCTCTCTGAATGTGTATTAAACAATGTGGATGGACTGCAGAGATGTCTCAGTGATTAAGAGCACTTGCTCTTCCAGAGGACCCAGGTTCAATGCCCAGTACCCACATGGTAACTCATAACTATCTGTAATTCCAGTCCCAGAGGAACCAATGCCATTTTCTTGCTTATGTGAGCATTTGAAATGCAAATGGTACACTGACATAAAAGCAGGCAGATCACCCAGACACTTATAAATTAATAAAATACAATAAATTTAAAATATATAAAGTCAAGGGACACAGTTCTCTAATTAGTAGTCAACTTGTTTTCCTATCACTCTCTCTTGTCCAGCCTGGAGGTTGCTTTCTAGCTGCAGCTAGGTTCCAAAGTTCCTTCCTGCAGGAAGTTTGCACTGGAGAGGCTCAGGAGTCTCCATCACAGTTAATGCATTTAATACCTGGAAGATAGCAGTGAGAAGTAAACACCTTTTGCATATTGTACCATCATGATAAATCCCTGCTTAGTCCTGCCCACAACACTTGAATCTGATTCCCACTATGTAAGAGAAAGATCATCTGACTGACTAGAAAAATGAATACACATCTCCTGGCTCACACATCAATATGTAGTGAGAATGCCAAGAGGTTCTCAGTGCAGTTTCAACAGTTGAAGTGACTGAGAAACATGACTTCCTAGGTCCTTTCTACCCTGACAATTAAAAGATCAATGTGTAGTTTTTCTACTGTCAGAGTAGAGATTGGAGTAATGATGTCTGCTGTGAGCCTTGTTGTCGTCTGTACTGTTTATCACAGATCTGGATGTGAATATTCTGGACAATTGGTAGACAAAGCAACAAGTTATAATCATTTAGAGTACACCAACTGGTTGTCCAGTGCCAAGTGGTGAGCCCTGAAAACATACATAAAGGTCACATCATTTTATATTTAGAAACAAATGTTTATACATATATATATGTATATATGCATGCAATAAGAATTAGTGATTAAAGAGAGACCACAAATTTGAGAGTGGGAGGGGTAGATGAGGGAGTTAGGAGGGAGGAAAGGGAAAGGAGAAATATTGTAGTTAAACACAGAGAGTGGAATTTGGATCAGCTTGAAAATCGAGTAACAGCTGACATTGAAGAAGCATACATGAAAAGTAACTGTCAAGTTATTAAATAGCAAAACAGAGACATTCCTTAAGGAGTAACATTTGAAAACTGAAATTGAAAACTGAAAGAGACAGGTAGATCATGAACTCTATGGATGGACACATGAGATATTTTAGGAAAGAGACTGAAAAGCAGAAGCCATAGCATAAAGTATCAGGTACATGGAAATGCGGGAGAATTCACAAAAATGATGAATAGAGAAGATTTTCAAAAGCAGAGAAATAGTAGTAATGGCTTGTTAGTTTCAATTAGCTTTACTCATGCCTTACAGCTAATGGTAGGAAATACTTAACACAATTTCAAGTATGAAATGCGCTACCTCAGATAAGAGATGGAAGTTTCCAAGTCAGCTGTCAAATCTGGGAAACCTGTAGAAAAAAAAATCTGCATTCCACTTTGTGCAGACTCAACTCAGATATTTCATTTTCTGGGAGAGTATGGATATTCACTGGATGACTTTTGCAGGGAGGAAGGTGATTTATAGAGACAAGTTTTTATGTACATGAGGCTGGCCTTGAATACTTGAATACTTATACAACATAGAAGGTAGCCTAGAACTCATGATTTTCCTGCCTCTAGCTCCCAAAGAAGGGATTACAGGAATGGGTCATCATGTCGATCATATGGAATACTTGAACAAACAGGTTCTTTCCCTGCTTTAAAAATTAATATCTCTGGGATTGGAGATATGATTCAGTGGTTAAGAATGCCTGCTGTTCTTTCAGAGGATGCCAGGTCGGTTCCCAGCACCTGTCAGGCAGGTCACAACTGCCTGTAACTCCAATTCCATGGGGACTGAACACACACTTTTGAACTCTGATAGCACTGTATTCATCTGTTTAACAACTCCCATGCACATCCATACATTATTAAAATAAGTCTCTTTTAAAAAATTGTTTGTTGAGCCTTGTTGAGTCAACTGGAAGGGAAACTGAGGATTGTAAAAAATATTAGTAGGTTAACTTAGTTGTCTAAATTTAAAATAATTCAAACTAAATAGCAGAGACAATAAAAATTAGGAGAAAAATATGAAAACAAAGGGAAGATAAACCCAAGATATGTTAATGTCACTGTAGTTTTAATGAATGACCAAGAGCCAGAAAGGAAATGACCTGCAAGAGACAAAGCTTGAGATTGAAGTTAAAGAAAGCCAACAAGGGAGAAATAGGGTTGGAAATTTCCAGTTGAGAGATTCATACGTCTCTCCTTCCTGCGATGAACCTATTTGCATGATCCTGGCTCCTCTAATCTCCCTGCCCCTAGCTGCACAGGCATCCGAAGCAACACTTACTGTTAACAGTAGGCTCCAGTTCTTACCTGTATTACATGCCCTCCTAGTTGGTAGTTCTTCGTGGCAAGTCTAATTACTACTGTTGCTATTGATGGCCACCTGTGCTCCTGTGCAGATCAGCATCGGGCAGTCTCCTTAATAACTTTACCACAGGAAGGATGAACCCCAGCCCCTTCTCTGTATGGTTAAGTGGGCTTCTTTTTCTTCTCTCCCTTTGTCTTTTTTCCTTTGTAGCTTAGCAATGAAAAGGAACTGGTGAAGCTGAAAGGAAATTGGAGCAAAATCCACAGGAGCCTCTTAAATGAAATATCAAGCACGAGTTCCTCGGTGTAAGTGGTTTCCACACAGCCATTCACTGTGAACCCCTACAAAGCTAACGCAAAGTGCCCAATGAATTAGACATGCTAGCCCTACATCTGAATCAGTCTCAGGGGAAGGATCCTGAATGCAAACACATTTAAGCATCAGAAGATTTTCCCCTTTTCCATTGTTTTTTTACTACCATGAAATATTTAAATCCCACATGTCTTCAGTTTGTGAAGGGCCAATGAGGCATGTAGCAGATAATAATAAAACTAAATCTATTTACAAAAGCTAAGTAGGCAATACATCAATAAGTATCATTTCATATTACAAATATACATAAATATTATTAAGACTAATAGCAGAGTGATTAAATTACTGAGACTCGGCAAAGTACTTTAGACCATGTGATTTACAATAAGTGATTCTCAGTTATATGATAAAATTAGAATATCCATTATTGAATCAGTCAAACATGTGAATAGTCAGATGTATGAATACATATGTGAATTTCTCTAGCTAATAGACCAGTTAGCTCTAAAGCAATAATCTTGATAGTTTTAGGAAGAAGAAATAAAGTCCAAAAGCAAATGTATTTCCACAGTAAATATATATATAAAGCACACATATACTGCTAAAATGATTCACCTCCTGTAATATGTAATTAGGGAATTATATGCACACACATACAGACTTGGCTGTGGAAGTAGTAAAATAGAATTAACTCTTAGTTAATGTTCTTTCAGGTGAGACAGTTGAATTAAAACCACAGCGACTTCTTTTACTATATAAGTAGTGATAAGTTTATTTAATATTCAATAAGAGAGGAATCAAGATAACATGAGGTGCCTTAAAGATACAGATAATCAAAAAGAATTTTGAACATTCATTTTGTATCAGTAGTTTGCTGGCCAACAGCTCATGACATTTACCATAAACTTTGCTTATGTCAGTTGCAAACATATTAGTAAAAAATGACAAGCAGAAAATTAGACCTAAGGGAAAAGAAAGATGAGGCTGGTAGATAAAGCAGATAAGTATTGTTGGAACCAAGGAAGTTTCTGGTGAGAATCTGAGACTCCTTATCACTTAGGTGTTTAGGGTTTTGCAAGAGTAGTTCTCACTTTCTCTCTTCACTCTTGCACCTTTTGCTCACACACAAACTAGCTCATGGCCTGCTGTTTTTGTACCTCAGACTTTGCTGAAATTACAAGTACCATGGCCAACAATGAAAACCTAAATGCTAAATATAAACCGGCATGTTTCAAGCTCCAACTATTCCCATCTTGTTACACATTTAACAATCTACAATCTTCAAGATACCTGCACTTATTTGTTCATGTAACCATTTTCAACTTGTTCTCTTGAATTAAACTATTTAATTTCTTTCTTTGAAAAATTGTATTTAACACAAAATATCCCTTAAATATGATATTTCTAAACAAGGCTTGGATCGAAGCTTGCATTGTAGTTTGAAATCACAATAATAATAATGATTTATCTGGATGTTACATAAAAAGCTTTAAATAATTGAGTTGTTCAGTTAAGATCTCAAGAAGCAGAGCTAGGGCCCATCATCAGCTTCCCAGACCCGGTTTTCTTGCACCAGATTCTCCAGACACACACAAAAGTCTATGAGTTAAAGGTTTATGGGGTGATCAACTAAAAGGTCAGATCTCTTCCCCCCTCCCTCTCCCTCTTCTCTCTCTCTCTCTCTCTCTCTCTCTCTCTCTCTCTCTCTCTCTCTCTCTCTCTCTCTCTTTCTCTCTGTATTTGAATTGATTAACTCATGTCATCATGGGTCAGGCAAGTCTAAAATACATTGGGCAACCTGGTAAGTTTGGAGTTCATCAAAGGGTTGATGTTATAGTCTTGAATCTCAATGCCATAGGATAACACTGTGGAAACCCAAGCAAGACTTCTTTGTTGAATTCTTATGAACTCAGGGCCATGTTTTTAAGGCCCTCAACTCAATGAATGAGGTCCATTCATACAAAAATATAATCTTTATTATAAAATTAAAATGTACAGACTTAAACATTAAACACATCTAACAACTATCTTCAAAGCAATTTATATTTTACTACTTAACTAAATTAGTGGACATTACAGCCTGACACCTACAACTAATTGTCACCAGCATATAGGACTTACTATATGATCCCCACACTGTACACAATATCTAAGGTGATTAATATCTTGCATTGATGATGTACAATTACAGTTACTGTTGCAGGTACTGTACAACTATTGATAATTACTGTGTAATAAAGGTTAGAAGGTTTACATGGAATATAGTTACTAGGAAAGGGGGAAAATGGAAGTAAAATAGGAAAATGAAGAGGAGAAAAAGGAGTGAGAAGAGAAAGGGTAGGAGGAAAAGGAACATGGTGAGAAGAAATAAGAGAAAGAAGAGTGGAAGAATGACAGAGGCCAGAGCATATTAGTGGGTAAAGCAAAACCCCAGACCTGTCACAGCTGAACCCTCAGCAGTAGGAGACATCAACACAGAGTCCTATGTACCATATCACAGGAGAAGCAGAGGACAGAGACAAGTTTTTCCTTTGCTTCGCTCATTCTCAACCTCTGACTCATACTCAGTAAAGTCTGTCCCAAAGGAATCTACTCTGCTCTTCCAAGATTCTTCCATGTCCAGCTCAACCAGACTTCAGGATCATGGAATTCTGATGTCTTGAGCCATGAGTTCACTGGTCCTGGACTCGTAGATGATGTCCTAAGTGCTTACTTGGTATAAGCACAATACTTCTGCAGTGAATTGGGAGCTAAAAAGTTGCTGGTGCTTGCTGTTGCCTTTAGAAATTCCCAAGAAACTCTTAAGTACAGGGAAGTATTTCTGGATGAAACTGAAGACCATAACGCCAGTTGACAAGATTTTGTTAGTTATTCTCCCAAGGAAAAAACAAAAACAACAACAAAAAAAAATGTATAAAATACAGTGCCTATTCATCATTACAAGAAAAATTAACTTACATGTATATTTCTGTCTGGGTATATCATGTCACAGTATGCAACTGTAGCACAAATCTTAAATGGTCTTGTTAAACAAAAAAACGTGGAGCCAGATATAGGGGTGAAAGCCTGAGAGATCAGGGAAATAGGGAAAGCAACAGCTAACCTCACTTCGCCAACTTCTCAACCAATTCTGTTTCCTCAAACTGGAAGCCTCTGAGTCGCCATCCAAATGGATCTCAGTTGTACTACTGCTAAAAACCTAAAAGCTTAAAAGCCTCTAGTTCCTGGTCCACACACCTTATATACCTTTCTGCTTCCTGCCATCACTTCCTGGGATTAAAGGCATGTGTCTTTCCCAATCAAGACATGAGATCTCAAGTGCTGGGATTAAAGGTGGATTTCACCATGCCTGGCTGTTTCCAGTGTGCCCTTGAACTCACAGAGATCTGGATGGATCTCTGCCTCTCGAATGCTAGGATTAAAGGCGTGTGCTACCACTGCCTAACCTCTATGTTTAATATAGTGACTGTCTGTTCTCTGACCCACAGATGAGTTTATTGGGGTACACAATATGTCAACAACATGCAACCCTCTGGTAACTACATTTTTCCTCATGTCTATGTTATTTAAAAGCTGGAATGAGCATACAAATCTTCATCGATGTGTACTTTAGTCAGAGAACATAAAGACAATTTCATTTATATATTACTTTAGTTCAGTACTTTTAAATACTAAATATTCATTTAAAATACTTAAATGATATATTAATTTCATGAACTAATGATCTCCCTAAATTACTCCATGGTTTGCCCATATATTTCACACTTTGTAACATACAATTAAAAGATCTAGTAGAGACCAAGTCTCAGTGTGCTTCATAATGATGTTTCTGCTCAAGAACCCTATATATTTCTCTGCTTATTCAGTAAACTACTCTGTAACTACTGAATGGGATCATTTATCACAGACCTGTGCTGGACACTCAGGATCCAGTAAAGAAAGAGAAAATGATCAGATACCTGAATTTGTATCTCAGACTTAAGAGAAATTATACAAATAATAAGTTGTTGCAGTAGAAGGTGTTGGTATTTTTAATAGAAGGACAGATGACCAAATACATAGGCTATGTGTCAAAACTAAACTTGAGACGTGTCAAGCAAAGTTTCCTAAAGAAAAATCATCTTAAATTAAGAAGTGAAATAAATACAGATAGCCATCAGTCAGGGAAAGTGGAACAAAGCAAAGGAGAAAAAAATGGAGTGGAGGATGAGTTATTAGAAATGAAACCCTTGGTAGACAAAACCATCTTAAAAATGGCTTTGAATACTGAAGGAAGGAGATTAAAATGGATAGTGATACCTAGAGAGGAGCTCAGAATATTCTGAGAAAGAAGTTTTGCAAACAGGCTCGTATGGTAGTATGGTCATATTAGAGAGAGTTACCATCAGAACTGAGACTGGGGTTGTTTTACAATCACCTGTAAAGAAGTGCTGACAAAAGTGAACTGAATCAGATATATGAACAGCCTTGGTGGTCGATAACAAGGGTTAGAGCTATGTGAAATGAAGACGTTTGGAAGATGTGCAAAGTGAATCTTCAGGGCCCATTGCATATCAGCAGTGTCATGGAACGCTGAGGGTAAGCTGATCTGACACAATGCAGAAAAATCAGGACTTTTCAACATCTACAAGATGAAATATTCAAAAGCTAGTGTCTATGAATATCCAAACTACTATCCCTCACAGTTTATATTGACATGAATTTGACCTTTGAAATTATAAAATTTCCAATTACCAATACCAGAGTTATTTCACACTTATCCAGGTAGTATTTGCTTCTTCACTCCAGAATGACCTCTGCCATCTAGAAATCTCTCTGCTTTTAGGGACTCAGATCCACTGGTGTTGCTGGTAAGACTTCTCAATGTCTTGATTCAGACTTAATTTCTTGCTTTGTATGTCCATTACGGCATCCTTTCTCACTCA